AAAAAACAAGAAGGAAAAAAAAACCCATCTTACATACTGAAAGGGAAGAAAATGCAACTTCTGATGGGCATAAATACTTCAATAAGAAGCACAARCATGCTATTTTTTCTTTTTGTGAGGGAGGTTGATAATCATTYGGTGTTTATGACTTCGCAATGATTGATACGTGGTTTCACATCCCTATTTTGGACAACTCAAAGGCTCCCAAACGCCAAACCACTTACCTGAACATACGGATGCACTTTTCCATGGCTTAGTATCACTATGTTAAGTGCTTTTTTTTGTCATTTCTTTCTACATATTTAGAGTATTTCATCTGTCACAGATTTTCTTGGGCAATACCACAACATCAAATGCGCTTATCTCTTTGAGTGTGCTGCCCGTTAAAGAAATCCATGAAGCTGCTGCATCCAAGGCAGCACACAAACCAACTCTTTTTGTTCGATCAATTGCCAATCAACTCATTCTTCTTATCCCAGGGCAAAACAATGTTAAAAAGCATTGTTTTATTTTTCTGTCATTTCCTGCAGAGCTACCAACGTGTGAATGGTTAGACTCCTTAGTTGAACAAAGCAGGGGTGGAAGATGGATCAGACTTGCGTGCTGGAACATGAAAACTAACACTAATTAATTGAATATATTTTTTTTCTTTTCCTAATGTCACCCAAGTAACAGTTACACCCTGCCTTACCATTGGTAGGATTGTCTATTCAATACTTCATGGAGACCAAAATCAACCTAACAAAAACTACTCTGTTCGTGCAACAAACAGAGCATACTTGAATTTAACTGAGAATTTCTATAAAAGAATCAACAACAGATAACTGTAGAAACAAAGAATTTCCTTAATCATCAATTAATCCCACAAACAGCATATCCTGTTGATTTTGTTTAATCTTGATCACACTAACTCATTCGAATTGATCAAAAACAGAGAAAAAATATCTCGAAATGTAAACGAAGAGCGAATACTTGATCAACCAAATTGGATAAGTTTTCATGCATATAAAAAAAAAACATCTAAACACACAAAAAACGGAAGACTAAATATTCAAACATGCCGAACAAACCAAATCTCTTACCGTCGAAACAGCGGTTATGAGAGAAGACTTGGACGACGAAACCGGAATGACACGGACGCATCTACTCAACGGAACCGACCCTGACGATCTCAAACCATTAAACTTCTGAATCTGAAGCTTCGGCTCCTTCGACACAACAGCATTGGCAGCTCCGACCGACGTCCCCATCATCGACAACAATCAGAGTTCAGTTCTCGACCTCCGATTCAAAGCCAGAAGCAACAGAACCGGAACAAAACTTCAAAAGACTAGGTTTTCAGACGCTCAGAGTGTCCTCCACCCACTCGCCGGTATCTTCCTAGCGGCCAACTGTGTCAGATTCAGATATTTCTTTTTGTTTGAGTGGTGGCGGGGCAGGCCTAAACGAGGAGGTATCGTCGCGTACTCGCATCTGCATCTTATATTTTCCGTTTTTCAAGATGGTCAATGCTAACGTACGCTAATACGTGATTATGATTTCATTCATTAGAAATTTGACCAACAAGCAGTAGTACAAATTAGATGTGCGCATTACGCACAGAGAGCTTCCTAGCAGAAGGTAGATTCATTCATTGTATGTGGACGGGAATGCGTCTCATCAAGGTCATAATGATATGGGGCTGATAGTTGCTGGGCTGCTGCGGAGTGCCGATATTTATTTATTTATTATTATTAATTATTAAAAAAATAAAAAAGAAAAGCAAATGAAAGGATTTTGTCTTTTTCCACGTGCTTTTCAAACGCCTCCTTAGACTAATCTTCTTCTGATCTTCCTTATAATCAGGATTTTAATATTTTTATATTTATTTTATACTGATTAAAATTTTATTTTCTTTTATTGAACAAGAAAAAGGTATTTGCTTGCAGTATGGATCTGGATCTACAACACTACTGCCTTGTAATCAATGGGAACATCTCCCTATGAATGTGATAGGGGAAATATTTCTAATGTGTAGCTGTATGTAACAATAGACCCCGTTTATTGGTTGGATAGGGATTTACCCCCAAACAAAAGTTTCCTATTGTCCAAAGTTCCATACACACCACTGCATTTACATATTGGGAGTTAGGGATGGTAATTTTGTGAGAATTTTTGGGTGGCTTGGGATTTTAGATTAAAACCCTATAGGGTTTGGGTTTTGATTTTAGGGTATTTGATATTTGATTCCTGATTTTATTTGACATGGGTATCCGTTCTCAATACCTGATTATAAACCCAACTATTATATAAGAAATAAAATGTGGTATCGTATAATATATAGTATAAAATAATTTATAATATATAATATATTAAGAGAATTTCTTTTTTCTTTTAAGTCAAGTTCCAATCCTTCAACTTTCGTGTTTATTTGTTTACCCATTTACCCTTATGTTATGTTTGGTTTGAGGGAAAATGTAGGTAGGGAAAGGTAGGAAAACCTTTACAAACCTTGTATTGGTTTTCCTGTCTTTCTCTTCCTTTCCCTATCTTTTCCTTCAAACCAAACATAGCCTTAAGGTTTAATAGTTAAGAGCAAGAGTCCAAGACCTATTGATGGGTAACTTTTGGGTTCTTTTGGATTTTTGGTGCTTTGAAATTGTAAAATTATTTGTTTACCCATTCTCTTATGTCACTTACTTTTATTTATTTATTTTGACTTATACTATCTTGTTTTGCTCTTTTATATGGAAATGTTTTATGTAATGTTGGTTCTTGTTGAATGTTGTTGGTTGATAATGAATTTTGAAGAACATTATTTTATATACTTAATATTGAACCAATGATTAATTTTAAATATTACTTATTTTAGTTTTTAGTTGAAATTGTTAATCATAAATATGTATTGTTTGTTTGGATGAATACAAAAGTTAATAAAACTTATTTTATTTCATTAAATAACACAAAAGGTGAAATGACTTAGTGGCTTAAAGTAGTTTTAAGAGTTTTGGCGCTATCATTAACTAATTTGGGTTCAACTTACACTTTAAGCGTTAATAAACCTTTTTAATAGAAAGCGTCAATTAACCTTTCAAATTGGGTGGGACGGGTTGGGATGGGTTTAACAGGTTTGGGAAATTAAGAGGAAAAGTTAGACGGGTTTAGGATCAAGGTTACATAGGCAAGTTTAGGAATGGATAGGACAATTTGCACAAATACCCTACCCGTTGCCATTTCTATTAGAAACATCTCTCTTGTCATTAATGGTTCCCTATGTAAATTGTGTAATGGCTTGTTAGAACAGTATTAGGAGCTGTTTTGGAAGATCGGTTGGCTAGAGACCATGAGAAATTTTTATCTGAAAATATTTTGTATTGATCAATACAAATTGCTATTTCTATGCAAGTAACTCTTATATGTGATGTGACCACAAATATTTCTAACTGGTCTATATGGATCAACCCAAAATAGAAACAACAATGATACAAAATATAGCTGAATCTGGTATGTCCTCTTCAGGTTATAATAGTAAAATTAATGCAACCTTTCCTTTCATCGCTAGGATTGAGAGGGCACAATGCCAGGTGGCTAGTTGGTAGAGTTTTGTCTTAGGTGCGATTAAATCCTGCTGCTTTTATTTTAGCATTCTAACCACTTGTGAGAAAGAAACGGATAAGAATGTGACCCTTATAAGAGGGACAATGGTAATCAATTCAAAATGATTGTTTTCAGTGAAAGCTACAGTTTTGGTTAAGCATTAGTTGAGATGGTCACAAGAAACTAAGAATGTGACCCTTAAAAAAGGGAAAGCTGTAATCAAAAGGATTTTTAGTGAAAACTACATTTTTCGTTAAGCATTAGTTGAGCCTGGATCTCTTGCAAGCAAAAGCTCTCCATACACAGCATCTAGTCACATGGAGAATATCTTCTGCACATGTATATTAAATTCACGAGATATTCCAAATGTACAATTGGATGCCTATGCTTATAAAGTGTCTACAGAGTTTTTGCTTTGTTCACATTAGTTGAGTTGGTCACTTAGGTTATGTTTGGTTTGAAGGAAAATGTAGGGAAAGGAAGGTAAAACTATACAAGGTTTGTAAAGATTTTCCTACCTTTCCTTTTCTTTTCCAACTTTTTTCTTCAAACCAAACACAGCCTTGGGGGGGGGGGGGGTTGATGGTATCATGTCTTTCAACCTCCCCTAAAGTTTCTGATAATCATAAAAACCTCCCCTGTAGTTTAATTTTAATAAATACCTCCCCTGAACTTTTAAAAAAATCAACAGAAACCTCCCTTCCATCACTAACCCAAACGAAAAATGTATGAAGTTACAAAATTACCCCTAACTAAATGTGGGAGCATCATTGAAAATATATTAAAATTCTAAAAATGCTCTCATTCGATTAACATCACTTTTACGATTTTATGATCCTTTTTTTCAGAGCAAAAGAAAAGAGTTTAAACCCTAACACCACTAAACACTTGCATGGCACCATCATTCAAAATATCCCATTCACCTAAGAATATTTCCCATTTTCTAGAAATCGTTTTTCACCAGCCACTGTTCTTTATCGACAGTTATTCTTCATTGTTTGCAATATCCAGTTCCCCCCTCGAGCAATTTTTCACCAGAGTTTTTTTTTTTTTTCGTTTCTCTTACTATGAGGATTGCATTTTACAAATAGATGTGAGTATTCTCACCAATACTGCATGGAAAAATAACCAAGGCTCTCAAGGATAAGAAATTAATTCATCTTTTGTGCTATAATTTGTTAATGTTTTCTTTTGAAGGTGTTACTAACACCATTGGTAGCTTGTAAGTGGAGTAACCAGCAGCCAATTGATAAGAAATTGGGAACCAAACAGAGTTATGCTTCACCGAATTCAAAAACACAGAAATAATAAAAGGACAAATTCATTGAATCCCACAAAAACCAAATCAGAGATTCAATAAATGACATTTAGTATGTCCCAAAATGAGAAAAAAAGATGCATTCAGAAGTGTCCATAAATACATAAAACCCAAAAGCAAAATAGGGGGAAAAGTTGAACCGTGTAACAATTAGTTTTATTTTTGATATGCAATCAAACCCAAGAATTCATCATTTGTCATTTCCACTAGAAAACTAGTATCGTAAATCCAAGATGTGATCAAAAGATTAGGCGGCTTTTAAGTTGATTAACACACTTGTCAGCCAACCTTCTGATGAAGAACAACCACCACCTACAACAGTTCACCATCTAATGTATAGCTAAAGTTCAACTTTTATCTGTGTTTTCATGTGCATAAACCAGAAACGTTGCCTCACTTCTCCACCAGTCAATCTCCGGTGGTTAAATGTTGCTTCCCTTCTTGACTACTGGAGTAAGTTTCAGGGCTGAAAGAGTCAACGGTGGTTACTACCTTTTTTTGAGTCGATGGAGTTTTAAGAACGGGAGATTGAAAGAGGAGAAAATGATAAATATTCTTTCAGGGTTCCTGTTAAACAAGGTTCCTAGTTAATGGAGTTCAAGAATGAGAGATTATAAGAGAAAGAGATCGACAAGAGGGTAGAATGGGTATTTGAAAAAAACTGATGTATTGGTCTAACATTTTCCGTTTGGATTAATGACGAAAGGGAGGTTTCTGTTGATTTTTCAAAAGTTCAAGGGAGGTATTTGTTAAAATTAAACTATAGAGGAGGTTTTTATTTGTCAGAAACTTCAGGGGAGATTTTTGTATTTTACCCTATTAAATATGAGGGATAAATAGACTGCACTCCACCTCAGAATTTTGAATTAAACTGCAGACCTACAACATTCAAATTATAAAACCTCCACCTATAACATCCATATCCACCCGTGAATTGGCATCAATTCCAAGCTGACGCCTACCCCCAATTATACAGTGGAGCTAGGATTTCTGAAGTGTACCTCCACCTATAACATCCATATCCGCCCGTAAATTGACATCAATCCGACCTGGCACCTACCCTCAACTGTATGTTGGAGTTAAGATTTCTGAGAGTGGACTGAATGCATATAGTGTGACATAGGCCCAAAGCCCGGGTTAGGCCCATATAGACCTTGGTTCGGGCTTTATATTTCATGCCTGGATTCCGGGCCTGGGCTATAGCCCTTCTCATAAGGTGTTAAGCCGGGCCTTGGCCCACCTATGATCACCTTGTTTGATTGTTGAAAATGTTGAGTTGGTAAAATAGCTTTTAGTTTCGAATCATTTCATATGTTTTTATATTGAAGCATTTGACTCATGACTTGATGACCAAAATGGTTCTTTATTAATTCAGTCCGAGTCTGACGACATCGCCATTATTTTCCAATTCCTTATGGTCAAGCATCATTCGGATGTCGCTGTATACCAGACTCAGAAGGAATGAGAGAAGACTTTTATTTTTTTGGAAAAAAAAATTCCAGTAGTCATTGACGAATTATTTTAGATATTAGAGGGTGGTTCAAAGATTATAGGATCTT